ATTTGTTGTGTATGTGACAATTATTAATTACCAAATTAGATAAAAACTTCTTATTCCCCACTACCAAATGATAGAGTTGTTCAAGATAGGGTGAACATTTTTGGAGTTGTCACTTATAGAATATGTTTTATGAGATGTACAACTTCTCGGGTTTCCTGAAGAGTTTTCAAAGAAATATGTGTCCATCTACTTTGCACTTGCTCTATGCTCAGTAGGTCTGGGTTAATTGGAATAAGAGTTTAAATTAGTATAGGTCAGTTGTGGGGAGTTTTTTTTTTTTTTGTATCAGGGATTGAACCCAGGGACCCTTAACTACTGAACCATGTCCTCCTTTATTAAATTTTGAGATAGGATCTCACTAAGTTGCTCAGAGTTTCTCTAAATTGCTTAATCTGGCTTTGAACTTCCTGCCTCGGCTTCCTGAGTCCCTGGGATTATAGGCATGCACCACCATGTCTCAAAAAACCCTTAAGAGCAATAAAAATATTTTATTGTGAAACATGTTTTCACTTTTTAATATTATATGTGATTGTAAAGAAACAGATTTAATTTTCAGTATGAAGAAAACTGTTCTATACTGTGAAATCATAGGACCTATGTGATTTAAAATACAAAAATTGCAGTTGAATTTTTAGAAAATGGTCTCCCACAAAATAGAGTTTTGTTTAAATACTATTTCTGTATATAGCCATGAAATCCATTCACATTATGGTGGTTCTCTTTTTTCTGCCTTCCAGCTTTAGACAACTCAGTCAGTTGACAAAGCTCGGATGACTTGTTACCTATTGGAATGAAAGCATAAGGGAAAAGTCCTGTGTCTCTGCTGATAGGGAACTATCTTTAAAATGATGAAATTAACATTTACCATTAGTTTGACTACAAGGATAGAGTTCTGTTTTTAAAATTTGGACTTAAGTAAATTTAGAGAATCACTAAGCTATAGTAAAGTCTAATTTAGTTAATTAGTAAATAATTCTTTCATTTTAAAAAAATGCATAGTGATCTATAACTGATTACCTGAGTCAAAGGGAAGAGAAAAAAAGAGACTTATTGGAATTGTTTAGTGGAGTTGTTATATGTATTTTATTGTACTTGTCATATTTCTTCCCACCAAAATGGAATGGTGGTTCACAGTAGGGGTTTTTATTTGTTTGTTTTCCTTTTTTGTGGTTGTTGACAGAAAATAGTACTTAGGTTTGGAATTGTGAAAGAAGTGCCCTTGAGGAAAGAAATTTTTCTTGGACGAATAGAATAAAGTAATATGTAAAATATATATGCCTTTGAAGCTATACTAAGTATTTTGACTGTCCAAAGTAATATATTCTTATTTCTAAATGTGTCCTTTTGGTTGAATTTGTGAAGACAAGAGAAGTATAGGCATTAGCACTTCAGTCTATCTGCCTTGTCCATCCAAATCTGTAGAGGCTGGAAGTGCCTGAACCTGTGTTTTCCTCCTCCTCCTTTTTTTTTTTAAATAACTTTATTTATTTATTTGTTTTTATGTGGTGCTGAGGATCGAATCCTGGGCCTTGCGCAAGGTGAGCGCTCTACCACTGAGCCACAACCCCAGCCCCTCCTCCTCTTGAACACAGACATGCTCAGGCAAGGACAGTAGCAGACACAGCCATTCTTAAATTCAGGCCTGTGTTAGGGAAGCACATGTGGGTTAATACCACTTCCTATTTTCTGTATTCTCAGATGAAAACAGCAGAATTTAGGGATCAGAGAAACTTGATAATTACCGACAGGACAGGGAAAAAAATCCTTGAGTAATTTTTTAAAATACTTGAAAACTTTTTAGGAAGCTTGTCAGTTTTTTAGTACTGCTTTTCAAATAGGAGGGTAATGAACTGGTGCTGTCTTTTTGTAATGGACTCTTTAACACAGAGTCCTTGGGGCAGTAGAGAGTTATGACAGGAGCAGACAAAGATGATGCTTTATTCTGTGTCTGTGTCAGCCGTTTGGTAACAAAGCATACACGAATTGTACTTTTCTTGTGGTATAGATCTTGTTTATAAAAGAACCTTTGAGAGGAAAAGGGACATTTTAGATATATTTCAAAATCGAGTTGCTGGCAAGGCCATGGATAGTTTTAAAAGGTTCTGGAGAAATCAGGCAGTGTCTCATCTGTTGTTAATTAATGGAATGAAACTGGAGTCACTAGAGTACAACAGTGAATGAAAGGTCAGTGAATGGAAAAAACTGTCAATGAAGGAGGATGTCAGCAGAGTGGAATATTGTCATAGATAATGATCAGGGGAAATGTACTCTTTGGCTGAGGTAGTGTTTTCTGGAAGTGACTGAGAGCCCCAGTTTGGTACATTTCAAGCCAGACTGGGCACTAAATGAATGATTTGATTTCATTGAAATCTATTAAATATTTAAAAAATTATTTGGTTATTTGTGTTTGTGCTAGATATTAGTTGAAAAATATTTGTAAACAAGAGGTTTCTTTTTGTTTTATGATGCATTTTACAATGTAGTGTTGGTTGGCTTTTTGTTTTGAGGCCAAACAATTGTTTGTTTCTTTTATTAATTTTATTCTCTGCATGGAATTTATTAGCATCACACTGGCTTTTGAGGTAAGTTGAAGTTAAAGTAATCTAGGATCCCTGTGCTAATTAGTGATAGAGTTGAGCCTGGGATAGTCAGTTTATGATTGCTGTGAAATAGTATCCCTCTGAAAACTGTTTTGTGGAGAAGCTTGAAAACCAAGACATCTTCAGCTTCACTGCCAGCTTGCACACTGTGATCATGAACAAATCAGTGACCATATTTACATTTCAACTAGTTCATTTGTAAACTTTGTTATGACTTTCATACAAAGTATATTTCAAGTCTCTTATCTCTGGTCATGTCAGGTTTCCTTCTCTTATTTTTCCCCCGCATTGAAACTTTTGAGCCATATAGCTTTAGGGAAGCAAGGCTCTTCCATCAGTTTAGGAGAGGGCAGTTGGCTGTCATTAACCTGGTACTAAGAACTGGCAGATCACAGGTGGTGAAGCTGGACCCCACAGCCATCAGCAAGACTGGTTCAGCGTGCAAGGGAAGAATTGAAATTAAACCCACAGGACTCAGAGAAGCAGACTCATATCCTAGTTCTGCTAGTTATTATGCAAAGTCATTCTAAAACTCTATTTTCTTATCTGTAAATGGGAACAGTAATGGTACCTACCTCATAGGGTTATTATAAATATTGAGAAACTATACTTGTAAAGGGCTTAGAGTACTGCGTGCCACATGGCAAATGTTCAGTACATCCTATGATTACTTAAAATTATTTGTAAGTATGATTACTTATAAGTTTAAAATGAAATTCAAATGGAGCTTCTTTTTATTTCTCTGAAAACATTTACTTTAACATTGTTTTATTAGGATTAAATGATAGGTCATCCCATGAGCTGTACTGGATCCAGAAAATAAAAAATACATATATGAAAACAGGGTTTTTTTTTTTTTTTTTTAGCAAAACACTAGAATCATCTAATGCTGTAGAACAATTTAAAATCATACAATCAAAATAGTGCCTATTATGTTGGGTGGTATAATAAGGTAAGCAAAGAATGATGAGAATCTTTTATCATGTTATGAGAACTACCTGGGGGAAAGAAACCGTACTTTAAATAACAACTGTGTTGTACAGTTAGAGACACTGAAAAGGAACAGTAATGTAAATAAGATTATAAATTCTAAACAGTAGGCACTCACATACCAGTATTGGCTGATCCCTGTCTTTGAATCTATCTGTGGGTTATGCTTGTAGGTATAGAATTCTAATAGGCTACTTTTCAGTAGTTGCAATAATCCTAGTCTAGCATTTCTGTAAATGTGCATTACATTAGCAAATTAATAGATTTTTAGAGACAATTCTATAGTCAAATGAATTTGCAAAGCTTATTTGGCTTAAATAAAGTAAACCAGTTTCTTTGGAGATAATTTTGGAAGACATGGTACTACCTTCTAATAAAACTTAATATGTTATTTTTTAATTTAATAGTATTATAAATATATAAGTATTATAATTCAAATCTCAGTTTATGAGTTTGGACTTATGAAGTAATGAGCATTTGGACAGCAAGGGATTTTATGAAAATTTACCAATCATTCTGGTTCCTAGGTTTGAATTTGGATAGGATTATTTGGATTGGAAACCCTAGTGAAGACCTTAATTTTTTCTTTTCCCAAAGGAGGCAAGAATGCCTCCTTTGACTACACAGATCTCTTTTTTCCATTGAGTGGTGGCAAGATTGTTTCTTCATTAAGTCATAGAGCCAATCATTAACAGGACTAGAAAAATACTGAACTTTTCAGAATCCAGGAATCTTGTCTCATGAATTTAGGGTCTGTCAACACTTCTTTCTAGTGTATAGTAAATGAACAGATCTTCAGAAATCAGTGGTAATCAGTAGGAACCTTGACTAACTGCCTACAGAATCCTAAGAACTTGATATAGATAATATTTCTAAGAGTAGGGGCATATTTTTGATATGTTTGAAATTTTTAAAAATATGTATAATAGGAAGATATAAAGTTCTAGAAAGAATTATGTGATAAATTTTACGTAGAAGAAGTAACGTTTGGCGTTGATTCACAGTTTTTATATCCCTATTTTGCTTCTGTGCAAAATTGTCTTAAGTGGTTATTTGTTACTGACTTTAAATCTCTTTATTATCCACAAAGATCATTTGTTTGAGGCTGAGAAATGGGGAGCAGATATCATAGGATTTGTGAAGATGAAGAGCATGTTTGAGAAAGAAGAGTCATGTAAAAAGCCTTTAGGACTTGCATATTCCATATTGTAGCCTTATAAACCAAAATCTGTTACTGGATCCTATGATCAAATTTAGCATCAGCAGCTAAAGAAAGGAACGCATAGGGAGTGGTATCTACTTGGATCTGTGGGATTTGATTTTTCTGTTCTAAGTAATTTTAGTTGAGTAGTTCACAAATGGCTGATTTTTACTTTGTGCATGACATAATCTTATAATGTTTATTCTTAGGTGGGTTTGCTGAGTTCTCTCGTTGTTTCCCTGGCCTCTGTGAAGGAAAATCCACTCTTGTCCCTACCTGCATTTCTCAGCCTTGCTTGCCTGTTGCCAACATTGGGCCAACACGAATTCTTCCCAATCTTTATCTTGGCTGCCAGCGAGATGTCCTCAACAAGGTGGGTGCTTGGAAAATATCCTTGAAAACTCAGTTTATTGGTACAGCTAGAAAAACAGCAATTGCCCATTATGTGTCATTTGAACACACCATGATCCCGGAAAGGAAGTATACCATTCTTAGAATGAATCCCCAGCTAACACTTGCATCATTAGGGTGGTATTTTGTTTGATGTGGTCATATTTACTTGCTTTCCTCATAGGTCCATGAGACCTGAAATAGGAGAATTTTTAGAAGTTTAGCCTCATTTTCTTAGGCTATTATAGTAATTGGATGCACTCAGGAAGGCTAGTACTTTTACATTTAGAAATGTGTTTATTTACTAGAAAGGAACTCAGGTTGGGCTTAGATTGAGAAATGTCCTCATGATGACCACTGTTGGGAAAGGTGGCAAACCTTCAGAGAGGAAACTCCAGTGAAGACCTTAATTTTTTTTTTTTTTCCCCCAAAGGAGGCATTCTCCTTTGAGGAAGAAGGTTAAAAAACTATGCATTGCCTGCCCACTGTCTAAAGCTTGTTGGAGCAGTTTGGTTGAGAAAAAAGAGGCTCGTAGGAGCAAGGGTTTGGAAAGGGTGTTGGTATTACTGAACAAGCATGCCCTAAGAGAGAATTGATGCCTATGCATATAATGGTACAAATATAAAATAGAATTAAAATCTGACTCAGCAGCTTATGTGCTCTCTTACATGTGCTAGGAGGAAACAGTGGACTTACTGTCTGGAAAAGTGATTTTTCTCTAAAACTTCTTAATTTATGTCCCTAATTGAAAAAGCAATTGAAGAGATCTTAATTCAACTATTAATGATTTACAGATGCTACTTCCTCTGTGAAGGGCAGTAGTACCCCTTAACATTTTCTCCTTGAATGACTAGAACAATTGGGCTGACTGTAAAGTAAGCTTCCAGATTGGCTTTCTTTAGCACATGCAAAGCAAACTTTCCCATGAGGAAAAAATGACTGTCTTTGGGTAGTAATGAGGCATTCTAATCCCCTTCTCCCCCCCCAAACTCCCACCTCTTCAAAATTTTGCCTCAATATTATATTGCTAATTACTTGCTCTTATTGTGAGATCTGCTTATTTGAGACTTAATGGCTTATAGAACATTTCTGGTGGGGTCACCATGCCTTTGAGCATGGAATTATTATTAATTCTCTTTTCAAGATAAGCAAACTATGTTACAGAAAACAAAATTATTTTTTTTGGAGTAGTGAACAACCCCACAGTTGATTTATTCATTAATTATTCACTCACTCAACAAATTGAGCAAAAACACTGGAAGATAGATTCTAGTGAAGATCAGCAGTTGTAAAGAGTGGGTATCCTGAGTAGAGTGGATATTCAACTTGTTTCTGGACATACTCTGCTCCCCAGTTCTTGCTTTCAATCTGTGTGTGTGTTTCACTCTGAGTCACTTGTCTTTTTATAAGGATGCCAGTGATGTTGGATTAACCCCTCTCCTTCCTCCTCTGGCATGAATCCATCTTAACTTACATTTTAAGAAAAAATTTTAAATTGTTCTAATTAGTTATATATGAAAGTAGAATGCATTTTGACACATCATACATAAAGGAGTATAATTTCTCCTCCTTCTAGTTGTACATGATGTAGAGTTAGGTCATATAATCATACATGCACAGAGTAATAATGTCATTCATTCCATCATTCCTACCCACATAGCCTCTCCCCTCCCCAAAATTAATTTCTTAAAGTCACATGCATTCCCAGAGCAAATCTAGAGATAGTTTATTTAATCCTCAGATTTAAAAAAAAAAAAAAGTCTACTGAAGAAATCTAATTGTGGTAAAACTTGGTGAGCAGGTGACTCCACAAATAATTGTGTTACAGACCATTTTTGTGACTTTTGACATTCAACTAAATAACCAGATGCAGTTATTTCTGATTATGTGCAGGCAGTTTAGGAACAGTAAGCCTTTCTTTTTTTCCCCCTATACTGGAGATTGAACCAAGAGGTGCTCTGGTTCATGAACTCCAATCCCAGCCATTTTTATTTTTGTTTTGAGAAAAGGTCTCACCAAATTGCTGAGGCTGTAAACAGCACACTTATTTTGCTCTATACCTTTCTCATATTTGTATGAGTTATGTGTTAGTATGTGTTAGTAAACAATTTTGTGAGCACCTATAAGGCAAGAGTAGTTAAACCAGAACCTGGAATTGAGAATAAGGAAAGGGGGAAATTTTTTGTTTTTCATGGCCCTATGGCCTTCAAACATATAGTTAGTGTGAGGGGAGAATGGGCTTATGGAAGTTCATGGGACATCAGCATGGGCAAGGAGTCATCATGGAAGATTGTCATGAAACTTTTAAAAAAGATATGTATAGGGGACTAGGGTTGTGGCTCATAGGTAGAGCGCTTGGATAGCATGTGCAAGGCCCTGGGTTTGATCCTCAGCACTACATAAAAATAAATAAATAAAATAAAGGTATTGTATCCAACTACAACTAATAAATAAATATTTTTAATAGTATAGATGTGTAGATGAAATGGTAAGAAATGGATATTAAGAAATAAGACACTGGTAAGGTAGACAGCTTTGAAAACAATGAGCAGGAATTTGTATCTGAGTTCTGTGTTCACTGTTGACAAGAGCCTGAAGGGAATTTTAGAGATTGATACTCCAGAAATGTTAAACAAATTCCCCAACATCACCCAGTTGCCTTTTAGAACCAGATTTACCTTTCACAAATAGCATAAGCTAACTGATCTTCCTGCTGAACTTCTTGTTTTAAACAGGAAGGAGCAGCAATATGCTTCTTTTTCCTTAAAGATCTCTAAAAATGAAAATTTTATAATCTTTCCTAATAGTACATATATTTTATTACAATTCAAAATTTGAAGTCCTGAAAAATATTACCTACAAGGCTACTAATTTATTAGTCTTTTTCTAAAATAGAGGGCCACCAAGATACACTAAAAGTTTTTCTAAGTATTCTTAGAAAGATCATAATACTTACCATTTAAAATTCTAGAAAAACTCTTTATATTATTGTATTTAACCTGCATAGTAGGATTAGAAGGTAGGTTGGCCCCGAGTTGTAAAGTCACTTGCCCAAGATTGTCACTAACTTCAGAGTTGATCAGGGACGGAGCATATGCAAATCCAAGCTACTCTGATTTTCATGTTTATATAACACAGAAAATATCAGTCTTCTGTAAAATTGAATTTTCTACAGCAGGCTGTTTTGATGGACTGCTGAATCTTAACAGTCTGTTAGATCACAGTTGAGGTTTTCCACAACAAATTCTACACCATCCACATCTAGTAGAAGTATAATGAAAACCAGATACATAATTTGAAATGTTCTAAGTAGCCTGAGTAAAACAGGTGAAATTAATTTTAATAACATTTCATTTAAACCAGTATATCTAAAATGCTATCATTTCAACATGCAACCAGTATTAAAAATCGAGATATTTTACATGTTTTGTCCTACTGAAATCTGGTGTGAGATTTATTCTTACTGCACATATTAAATTGGATTAGCCACATTTTTGGTGCTCAGTAGCCGTGGGAAGCCTATTGCTACCTTACTGGACAGTGCAGATCAATACTTCTGATGTTTTAAAGATATGGTTCTCTGTTAAAGACCGCAAGTCATTGGTTGCAAAAATATACTTTCATTTTACTTGTCCCTCAAACTGTGCTTTTGTTTCTTACAATCTGTTCTTTCATTCTGTAGTATCTGTAACTACAGGATGTAACTAAAGCTGAAATAGGAACAAAATTAAAAGTCATTTGCTGATGCCCAATTTGTATCTGAAATGTGTGGGATTTGAGAATCTCTAATTATGTGAAAGACAAAGTTCCTTTATCATTTTTCTTCCTTATCAGTTAAAACTTTAAATAGAAACTTTTCTTTCACATTTAAATACTTGAAATGTATGATAGAATTACCTACTGCAAGTGTTTACTAACCTGCACTATATGAGATGAGCTGCTTCAGCTGCTTACTAGCGTAGGTCTGCTGCTTCTTCCTGAGTTACTGTCTGGTTGTCAGCATTCTTTATTGAGCTTTTTATTACAGCCTCTTAACATGCAAAGTTGGTTTTCCTATGTTACCCTATTGTTTTGCCCGCTAGTAAGATTATTGATACTTTCTCTGTTGTTCTTATGGCAGTTAGGCAATATCTTGGACACAATATCATTGAATGATGCTCTCAGAGTTTTCAAGAGAGAAATACATGATATAGGAAGACAGAAGGTCATTAGAGTTATCAGTATAAACGTTTAGTGTCTACCATGTGTAGAATCACCATACAGTGTGCAAGTTGGTTGGTTAGATAAAACCTACTTTTTAAACAATAATTCACAAGTCAAAATGATTCACAGTATGACTATCATTACTTAGGCAGTACTGCATAATGGGCGAGTGTCAGCTCTGAGGGTGGATAGGTTTGCTTCTCTGTTTTTCACCTTACCTGCCATATCACTCAAGCTAAGATCTTGAATCTCAGTTTCTTTATCTGCAAATTGTAATAATTCCTGTCTCTCACTGTTTATGTGATATTCAAATGATGATTTGCATATCATCAAGTTCAGTCCCTGCTTTATAGGGGACACTCATCATTATTGTCAGCATAGGATAGAGTACTAGGCATGATGCTAAAGTGAGTGGTGGAGTGGGTTTTGTGGCTTGAGGAAGGCTGGATAGAGGAAGTAGGACTTGGTCAGTTTTAAAGGCAAATGGAGTGGCAAATTCAAATTGACTCATGAAATTGACTTCAGTAAGGTAAATTATAATTTGATTGTCTATAATTGTTATGCCATGGTGATTTAATGGGACTTCTTGTCTTCAGACTAGCTGACCATGAGGAAATTGCCCAAATAAAGCAGTTTTATTAAAGCCATCTATTAATCTGTACTCTATTGCTCCATCAACAGGTCATAGAAACTATACTTAGAAATTAGTCCAGCTAGAGGAGAAAATTCATTACATAGTTTAGGAGTCAGACTTTTAAATGAAAAAAAAAAGAATGAAAA